ACACCTGATTACAGAAGTTTGTTCGTCAGTTTTTGCTCGTTTCGTCGCAATTTCCATTCGATTTGTGCAATTTCAACGCTTCAGAAAACTGTGAACCGTTTCAAAGTATTAGGATTTAATAACGTTTTAATTATTATTTGAGTTAAATTCAGTGTGTAATAACGGTTTAATGAGAATCAACGTACATCAGCATTTCACCGATGAAAATGTTGGAATTATTCGAACGCAAAGAAAACGATGAAACTGCGGAACTGACGGACAAGAGATCTAAATTTGAATCTCGGTGAAATGAAGGTCTGCAACGTGGGATTCTATTATCACTTCCTTTGATGTTCGTGTGTTTGGAAAACAGACAAATTTTTAGTACCACGGAGTTTCCGCCGTTCCGTGTGGAATCTTTTCATTGAAAAAAATCCTCGTACACGAAGGGTTAATATCCGCAGGGATTCGTTCGCCCGCGGCGGGCAAACCGGGAGATGCACACAATGGGATTCGCGAAGCGGCGATGCGTTCACGGGCGTGGGACAGGTTCGTTCGTACAATTCCGGCGCGATTTTCATTAAAATGGAATTAATCTCGACCGGATCGTAGAACACGACGCGGGTGAACGACGCGCCGGCGGTTTGCGGCGGGACCTATCCTCGCTTTCCAGCTTTCATCCGGCTTCTACGTGCCGCTCGCGACAAGCAGAAGAAACGATTGTAAGTACTCACCCTATCACTACTATCGAGAAATCTAGAATGTTCCATCCGTTCCGGAGATAAGCCCCTGGATGAGCCACGAAACCGTAGGCGATGATCTTCATTACGCATTCGACCGTAAAAATCACAAGAAATATATACTCTATTTTTTCCTGAAACACACCAATTGAACATGCAGCTTTAGATGGATCGTATCGATCGTGCTTTTCCGTTTGATCGGACGGAAGAGCGGTAAACGCGATTGGAAAGCCGTTTAAAGGACTATTATACTTTGCGGAAAGGGGATCTTCTTTTATCAGCTTCCCACGTGGATACTTAAGAAACGAATATCATCGAAGCTTGTGCATTCCTTAACATTTTAAGAATATGCTGCACATTCTTCGTTTATTTCTTTGATCTTTATCTTCCAGACTTTTCGCTTTTAAGGAATGTTCCGAGTGTATTTTCAAAATAAAAGATTAACCGTTTGCGGTCTTATTAATTTGATGTACAAACGAAATTTACGACTTGTCTTTAAATTTTAGACGAATTTCACGCAATAGTAGTTCTTTGTTTGACATAGATTAGTTTATTAATAAATATTCTAATCTTTTAACTGCCATATATAATTTATAATTATGTATTTTAATTATGTACATTTTATGCAAGCAGATCGGTGAAAGTATTCTATCGGAAATGATTTGTCTTACGACCGCAAAGGGTTGAAATGTCTCTGTAAAACGATACATTTTCCAGTGATTTTCCTAGATTTCCATCTCCAAGGAACGTTTCAATTGGATCTTGGAAACGCGGGATTAAAGTGTTCAACGAAATTTATAAATAATACCTTATTCACCGGGACTCGCTTCCCGTTTAAAATATTACTTTACCCGCGTTGTGCGGCATGCGAAACTCGAAGCGCCATTCGAAATATTTTCTCTCGAAATCGTATCCCACTTTGGCAACAGTATTGTCGCTCGTCGTGCCGGCAAACTTCCCAGAGCGCGGCTGAACCGAAAGAATGGAGTCTCCGGGGAGAATGGCAGCGAACGGGAGCGAGACGGATCAAATACAAGCGAGTGAAGTACCAGGAAAGAAAAAGAGGAGAAGAAACTCGAAAAGAAGAGAAGGTGGAGAAAGTTGTAGGATAGAACCGCGAGCGGTAAACGGGAAGGTGGAAGAATGCTCTCGCAACGTCCATTACTTTTAATATCCGAAACCGATCGATCATTGGCTGGCTGGAGCAGTCAATTGGCTCGGGCTCACATTATACTAAGTGTTTCCTAAATCATAGTACAACCAATTGTTACAAAGAAAATAGAAGAAGTATAAAAATCAATTTTTTCATTGGACATTTCGTTCACAAGAGAATTGACTTCGAATGATACGCACGCATTAATATTCAAAAGTATCGGACGTATCAGCCGATTGGTATTGAACAACATGTGCGATTGACGAATATTCAATTACCTCGACAAGGTAAAAATGCTCTGTTTCTTCTGCTGTTTTTTTTTATTAGTTTTATAATATTCTATTCATTTCTCTTGTAAATAGGATGCATTTTTCTTATCCTTACTATAGATTCCTTGTCATTTTTATATATTTTACCATTATTACTATAGATTACTATTATTATTATTAATATTTTTATATTCTATTGTTACGATTTTCTATAGGTTCTATATGATTTGTCCAATTTTTTGTATGGAATAATTTCTTTCCTGCTATAACACGATTTCAGAAACGCCCTGTGTTACAAATTTATCAGCGTTCCCGTAGATTTCTGTCACACACAGGCCACGAAGTTCCGCATCGTTTTATTATCTTGAAATACGTCCAAAAAACGTCCAGGATATCGTATCTTTGTTATTTTTTTTTTCTTTTTTGGCAGCCGGGTGCAAAGAGTTCGCCGGAAATATTTACGCTTCCGTAACGTCGAAAACCGAGGGAACGGCGGGATATGATGAATGGCCGATCAAACTCGATCCACGCCCACTGGCCAGCTCCGGAAAACGTTTATACTACTCGCGTCCCTTTCACAGCTTATCGATGGCCGATCGAAACCGACCGCGTTCACTTGCCGCTCTTTGGCACGCGATGTGTATTGCGTCAACGTCTCCAGATATCAACGAAATTGTATATCGTTGAATGTTTCATGGCACTCATGAAACAGAATGTGATTAAATGTGAATTTATCAAAACGCAAAGTGTGCAGTGAACAACATTGAATACTCTCGTATAGATATAGTATCTCCTATTTCTAATCTATTGCAAATAAATTTTAAATATAATATCATTACGTTATAATAAATATTAAACGATTACATAAATATCATCATAAATAAAATATTTGAAATGAATAAAGAGTAAACAAAGAATTCTCCAACAACGAAGCTAAAATCAATCAAAGACACTACGATGCGCTAATGTAAACAAATAATTCGAAATCACTTTAAACTGTTCCACGTATAGTATCGCCTCAGTTAACGAACTCGCTCCAAGAATCCGAATCCTGAGATCACACCTCGTCACACGCATAATCGAATTTTCCAAATATGCTTTGAATCGGCCCTCGAACCTCCATTCATCTGCATCCATCTCTATCGCTCACCTACTCCATTTACCGAGGTTCTACCGCAATCCAAGTGTCCTCAGCGCCCATAAATCCGAAAAACGCGATCAGCGGGGGCGTTATTCCTCGATCGTTCGTCACCGTTCCCGAAACTCGCGCGGTTCGGCCGGGTACAATTAATGAATCGCGAAAGCGCGCGGCTCGGATTACGGAAACAGGGTCAAACGGACGGGGGAGAGCCGTTTACGGGAACCTTTTACGGTGTTTGTGACCTGAATCGAGGCTCGAGGCGGTGCCCGAGCCGTGGGCGCATCCACGGAACACGCCTTTTCCCGAAGTTTCCGGTCTGGCGCGACGTTAAACTCGTTTGCTCTATCGGCCGCGACGAGCGGCCGCCCTGGAAAAAGCCCACCCCCTCGGATAAAAAGGGTTCCATGCGCGCCGAGGACGCGTGTTATCTTGGAAAACCTTTCATCCATTTTCCGGGACACGGTCTTTCGCTACTTTCGATTCTAACCGAGCACGAAATTCGTCACGAGACAACCACCGATTCGACGCCCGCTGCTGCCACCCTCGAACGGTTCCTTTCACGCTCGGAGCCTTCCCTCACTTTCTTGCCCCGCGTTCTCTTCCACGTTTTTCAGCCGACGAACCTTTGTTCCATGCCACCCAAGAGCAAAAGAATACTCTTCTTAACAGAGCACAGTTTCCTTCTCGAGTTTCTCCACTGTGAGGCTGGATCATTTGTCCGTCGTTTGACGTCCAGGATTGCGAGTCCATGATGGATTTAGGCTAGGGACACTTGAAACGAGGACTCTACGTGACCTGGTTTCCTTAGTCAAAATCCTGACCGGAAAATTCCATTCTACGTTCCGAGCTTGTGTTCTACTTATCCTCCAGTTTATTCTTTACTTGTATCCTAAATTCTGAGTTCTAAGCTTCTTTAGACTACTTATGTCTTTAGCGAATGCAGCTATGTTAGATCTGGGTCTAGGTTAGAAACTACTAGGATTTATAAATAGGTTGTAAAACACAGTAGCATCTTCGATGTTCTCTCGATTTATGCTTCCATGTCAAATTCTCTTCACTCACCACTAGAATTTATAAACTTGCCTTCGAACGCAACCTAGGCGTTTCACTGTATCCACTGTTACCTTAAAAAATCAAGCTCTCTGCTCGCTTCAAGCGTAATCGTGATTTCTGTGAGAACGGTGGGCGTCTAAGATGGTCGACAGCTTTAATAAAGGCTTTGCTTCCAAGCAAGCCATCCCGTACACGAATCGGGCTCACCGATAACGGTGGACCACACCGCGAGACGATGTCAGCAAGATTGAACAATTATCGGGGTTTCAGCTTGAATAAATTTCACGCGACCCCGTCCAGTCGGACACCGGCCGTTTGTATATCGATATAACTCGGCGACGGTTCGATGAACGGAATCTTCCTTCCTATTGCCGCCAGCTATTCTTAGACCCGATCGAAAATTTTCGGTCGGGGTTCACCGGTCGACCGCTCGGCGTTTCGACACTCGAAATGTGAAATCGGGCTGCTCAGAACCACGCGTGGTCCTTGATAAAAAGTCGACAGAGGGAGCGGGAAAATTTAGGGCGAGGCTCATGAGCGGAAACGTAAGAGTTCATTGTGCAATGTGTGTTTGAAATGGCTATCTATTTCGATGAAACAGAAAGGAATGTCAATAATCGTTATAGGAATTTTTTTAATTAATGTTGCACGGTTTTTAAGAAGAATGCAATGCAGGAATAGTCTGAGAACAGTTTGGAAGTTAAAGGCAGGGAGACAAATTATTCAAGGAATATCGAGGAAATTAAAAAAATTTCTGTATCTGTGATGAAAGATAAATCTGGAAGATAAAGATCAGCCGTGTAGAAGCTTGTGATTAAAGTATCAAGGTATATGTTTCTTAGCACTTGTTCTCGAGTACTACCTCTATTTCAAGGATAGTTACTTTGAAAGTGCAACTCGAGAAATATAAATTTATACATGCTTTAACTTCGTGTTAATTAGAAATAAAAGATTATACGTAGCGAAAGGCACTTACCAAATACTGGTTGGTCAGATTAGAATCGCCGTACGGGTACGGAGTGTAGACTGCCAGAGCAACGCAATTCGCGAATATCGTCATGAGAATAAGCCACTCGAAAGGTCTGGAAAGTTGCGTCGATGGAAGTTGCTCTGGTTAAGGAAAATGAAAATAACCACAGTAATGTACTCCCTCAACGCGGCTCCTAGATTCTCCGAGGTTGCAGCTCCGCTCGGCTCGTCGAACTTTCCCCCAACTATTTTCACCGATCTTCGGCCGAGAACCAATGCGCGGTTCCCAGGAACCTTAAGACCTCTTAAATGTAAACTCCGCTCGCAAAACCGTAAAAAGTTTCCGCGCGCGCGCCGAGTAATTTTATGTTTCTCGCTGTTACGAGGGAAATAAAAATAAAAATAAGAAACGCTTCGACCTCGTTCCGTTGGATCGACATTGCTGCCCTAGCGAATGTCGGTGGAAATTAAACGAATTAAAAAAAAGGGGGGGCATTACTTCCTGTAACAGTGCGGGTTATCTTGAATTCTCTGGAACGAGCTCTCGACGCTTTACCTAATGGATTTACGACGGGGGTGCAAGCGATTACACACGCGACGAAACAGTTTCGTCGGGCAAGTTTAACGTCACAGGGAAAGTTCCGCGATCTATTTCTAGGGACTCGTCCCAGATCAAGTTCAATATGTACCCGTGAGACTGAGTGGATTTCCGTACCTAAATTGCGTTTCGCGTGCGTCGTGCGCTACTTACAAGTGGACTACTTGTAAGCATATCAAATACGAATACAAAGGTGACAGTTGAAAGTGATAGTGACTTAAGCTTAATATTATATATCAAACTTCTCAATTTCGCTGTACCAAATCAAGTACAAAGCGATAATACCGATAACATACCGCACATAATTGCATGCACAAAAATGCTCTTAGAAAATTCAAATCCTTTTCAGCCTACATTCCACGTTTCTCAAAGAATCTACAAACCAAATACTCATCTCGAGAGTCCTTTGTGATAAGTACTTACACATAGTGTACCACCCTACAGAAAACACGGAAAGTTAAAACACACAGAAGCAAGGCAGAAGGAAAAAGGATACTTCCATTCGACGACGTCGATGCACATCTTCCGCACGGGATTCTTGAGGGGTAGACAAAAGAGGGCCCTGACGGGCCTGTCCGGCGGTGGTTTGCCGCCCCTGCGGGCCGGCCTCTTGGGGGCGGACTTGGCGGCTGCGCCGGTGCTGGTCCCGAGTGTTTGGCCCGTCTGCGACTGCGCGGTCGCCGGCTGTCCGTCCTGGGCAGATTGTGAATTCCGGTGCTGCCCGAGGATGGGGGGGGTCGCGGCAGTCGGCTGGGCCCCCGACAG